CCCCCCCCCCCGCTGAAATGTAGAGGCCTACTTGTACAGGTTCCACTCCAGTGGCCTATCTAGTGTGTCCATGCTTGACTGCCATAAGGCTCAAGACGCTAAGAGGATAAGACTCTGCGCATAAAAGACACTAGTGGTCTGCACCTCAACCGTGTACGCCCTAGTCACTCTTTCAGTGGTAGCGGAGCAGTGATCCTGGAAGACCCAGGTGAGCTCCTTTCCTAGGCATAGAATTGCTTGTGGGCAACCGGCCATGGATTGGATTGACGACTGGGAAGAGCCTGATGCGGATGTGGCTTATGAGCCAGCAGCCTACGTGAATAGGCATGTGAGAAGAGAACCAGCAGCTATAGCAATGACAACAAAGGTGCCCCCATCTTATGATGGAAAGACTTCATGGTTTTCCTATGAGGATGCCATTGACGATTGGTGTGATATCACCGAGCTGGAAGATGAGAAGAGAGGACCAGCATTGAGAAACCGACTAGAAGGAGAAGCAGCTGTATACAAGCGAGTATTAGACAGAGATGCATTGAAGGCGAATGATCCACCAGGAGCAGGAGTAGAATACTTCAAACGAGTACTACGTCCATATTTTGTGAAAGGATCCACCAATGTATTCCTGTATAGGTTTATGCAATTCGCGCGCTTCAATCGCGGATCAGCTGATATGATGAAATGGATGACAAGATTTCAGATCCTACTCCAAAGGCTTATGAGCAGTTGGATGGACATGTTGGATCCAGTGACACAAGTACATCCTCAGGTACAAGCTCAGATGCAAGCAGATGCAGCGATGAATGGAGTAGCTCCAACAGCGGAAAGAGTACAGGAAATCATGCAGAATGTCAATGGCAATCTGAGAATTCTTCATCAGAACGATTTTCCTTTAGGAGAAAATCTCATTGCCTTACTCATGCTGTCACTTGCAGATTTGTCTCAGGACCAGAGGAACACTTTGACCTCTTTGATGACCCATCGTGGTAGAGTCCTGCAGCAATACACGACAATAGAGTTGAGGACAGTCTTCATAGAGATGTTCTGCGCAACAAAAACTTCAGTAGACAATCCTCTGATGCAGCCAACAGGTGCTGGAGGTAGAAGATCATTTCTCGTACTAGACGAAGGAGAACTCGATGGTACATATGGCTATTGGGCCGAAGATGAAGAAGATGGAACAGAAGGATTCCTTGATGCCCTGGACGATGTCTTTTGGGTATATGATGAACAGAATTTCTCTTGGTTCCAGAGGAGATTCCAAGGAAGAAGAGCCAGAAAAGGCAAAGGAAAAGGTAGAAGAAAAGGAAAAGGAAAAGGAAGATCAGGCCGCAGATTCTTCAGACCTCGTGGAAAAGGAAAAGGAAAGAGACGAGGTAAAGGCCATTATGCTGATGAGCAATCGACAACTTATCCAGATGAGTATTTTGAAGAGAATCCTTATGAGGACACTTGGGAGTCAAACCAAGTAGCATATGATGCTATTCTTGCCGAAGATATGAATGACTATCTTCAAGGAGAACATGAAGATGCCCATGACTTTTGGCAACAACTTGAAGAAGCATGGTTTTCCCACAAAGGAAAAGGAAAAGGCAAGAAAGGAAAAGGAAAAGATAAAGGAGATGGCAAACAAGATGCAAACTATGCAAATCAACAACAGCCACGTTCTTTGCCTGCACCTTCAAGATCTTCACAAGCATCAGGAAATCACCAAGGTTTCTTTGCACATTGTTTGACAACAGCAGCTGAAGTCAATGACAGTGAGGTGAACTTGCTGTCAGGCATGATGACCTCATGTCAAGATGAAGCTGACTGTAATGTCAACAATGGTGAGACGATCTTCGATGGCATGAGTGCCCCTGTGAGGTACTCTTTGTCAAAGGAGATGCTTACAGATGCTCCTGATGGCTTTGCGCTTATGAGCGCTGAGGAAGAAGTGAAAGAGATGCAGGCTATTTCATTTTTGACTGAGAATCGCTTCCCGCCAACTATTGCAATCCTGGACATTGGATGCACTAGAGCTATGGGATCAAGGCGTGCAGTCGATTATTTTTGTAACTATGTCGACAATCACCCAAACTGTGGACTATGGTACTCTTTTGAGTCTACCAAGAGCAAGTTTTACTTTGCAAATTCTCAGAAGGCTTCTTGCTCTCAGAAACTGGTGATTTACATGTATGATCGTGCATGGACGATCCACAATACAGAGTTCGACATAGTTGAAGAAGGAGAAGTCCCTTTGCTTATGAGCTTGCCACAGATGAGGAACTTGGGCTTTGAACTCAGGCTGACACCTCAACATGCTTACCTGACATCGGTGCCTCTTGGTATCAAATTTTTGGAGTTGAAGGTTGCAGCCAGTACTCATCTTGTTTTGGACTTCCAAGATATTGCATGGTATCTGTCTGACGTGCGTTTGCAGGCTCGGCGCGAAAAGAGCTTTTACTCTCACTTCACTCACTATGAATATGGCCATATTTCTGTTGATCACAATAGTGATGAAGATGAAGCTGAGCATGCATATCCTGTGGTTGACTACTGGGAAGTAGATCTTCACAAGAGAGAACTGACACGTCACCACAAGGATTACAGGAAGATTCTTTTCCCAGCAACTAAGTCCTGTCCGGTAGACACTGACTTGCTGGAAGACTTGCGACTGACAATCATCAAGAAGAAAGATGGAGGAGAAGAGATCAAGAAGATAGATGATTGGCGCAAGGCAAAATGGAAGGACCTACAAATTGGCTATGAATGGCGTGGTAGAACAATTTTTAAGTTCAAGCCAGATGCCAAAATTCCAGATCTAAAGATCAGGAAGGCTGGCATTGAGCACCGTGGCATTGGTGATCCCGATGCAGTGGTGCGCTCCTCCTCAGAGAAGGTTCCCATTGCAAGGGACAGGGAACCAGGCTTCTCTTCAGAGAAGGAAGGTGCACCGTCCAGTGCCGCGGAAAAGCCCGTGCCGCCAAAGTTTCGGTATACTTCCAAGGGTTTTGATCCATTTTGGAAAGGACACAAGTCGAAACCATCTGAGCCTCCACAGGATTTAAAAGGTGATGATCCTGAGGGGTATACTCCCTCAGAACCACCTGAGAGGCCAGAAGGTGAACTTGTAGAAATTCCTAAAGCATCAAAAGGACCATCAAGTGATAAACATGAACCACTTGAACCAGGTGATGGCGCTCTTGAGCCTAGGCGGATTTCAATCCCATTACCTGGTAGTGAAGTTGTTGCAATGACACCGGCATATAGGAAGATGTTACAGAGACTGGAGGACAAGGTAGAGCTTTATAAGCTTCATGTGAAGCACTACCATATGAGTCCTACTCAGTTTCGTAGACGTGTTTCTATGTTGAAGCTTCCTGACTCTGTTTTAGAGAAGTATGAATCAGTTGTCAGGAACTGCCGTGTTTGTAACACTTCAGTGGCACCTCCGCCACGAGCCAGAGTCTCCGGTATTAGAGCTTCATGTTTTGGTGATGTTGTTTTTGCTGATCATTGTGAGGTTGAACTTCACAAGAACAAGTATATCATTCTACTTGTTCTTGATGGTGCCACAAATCTTCTCTGGGCTACGGC